GCTGTGAGGAAAGAATTTGGGGCCTTTAGTGTTTTTCCTGTCCTCTTCTGTTTCTGCAAACCACCTGTTTCTATAATACAACACCCTTCAGAATTTGGGTTTACACTTCTTATTACTGTCAGGAAAATTTATTTTTTACTACTCATGATAGTGAGCTTTGACACAAGTCAACATTGTAGGGGTTTTGTTTTGTTTAAGGAAAAATATTTATAAATATTAAGCAATCACTAGGAGCTGAGAAGTTAAAACATACTGGGATTATTCATACAATTTTAATTCTACTTCATAAAACACATGTTACAATGCAGTCTGAATTCAATGTTTTCAGTCTCATAAATTATTACTTTTTTTTTTCACCATAGGAGTCCTCCTTCATTCTTCAGGACCAAAGCCTTCTCAGTTGTAAATATGGGAAACTACAAATTAAGTGAAGAAAGGAAAGCAGAAAGTGAAAAGAAATATCTTAAAATGAAGAAAAATTGTTCGATATATCATCAACCTATTTCTTCCATTTGGGACAGTTTTCCTATAAGATGGGTCAAAGCTTTTTAAACAAATATCCTTCCCCCCCCCCTTATTTTTCGTGTTTTACAGTGTGTCAAGGGGATTAAATTAAAATTAAGTACTATTTGAATTTTAAATACAAATATTGTTTTCCATTAAAGATATTTTTTTCCATTACCATACGATATGCTTCACTGTCAGAAGGAACCTGAGCAGTAACAGAATACTCCCTTACTGGAGCACAATGCGCTATTAAAATTAAACTGTCAGCCCGCCGTTGCTGAATGAAACGTGGAAGGAAGCCCAAGAGTTCAGCCTGTTAGACATTCTGTTTCGGGTACTGCAAAGTGCCACTAGGTGGCGTAATCCAGCACCACCATATGAGGCCTTGCACCCGTACAAGCCAGCAACATTCTATTCAGTAATAGAGCAAGGAGCAGAGGGCATACTACAGTCAAACTGACATAATCAAAACATCTAGAAAGGCTGGCAAAGAGGATGCCACGAGAATAAAGTTATACTCTAAAATCATTTATTTATGAGTGAATTTATGCAACTATTTATGTGTGCCTCCACATTGCTCCAGTTCTTGCTTTAGTGTATTTGGAAAATGTGAGTAATTATACAGACCCACTGACTGTAAAGTCATTGGCATTTATTTATATAAAGCAACAAAACTATTCATTATGAAAAGGAATCCTCCTGCTTCTTTTCCCTTCCATGCTTCACGCATTCTTCTGTGCAAGTTATGAGCTTATCCAGCTCTTCAGTAAGTGGGTTTAATGCTTCTAGCTGCTAAAAGCCATGTGCTTTTCTTTTTTTTTTTCTGTTGGCTTAGAAACCTAAAATGGACTCCCTGATAGATCAGAGGGCTAGCTAAAGTCAGTTCATGTGTGGAAAAGCATGCCCAAAAAAAGGGAGGAGCAGTGGAACAACTCCATTCAACAACAGAGAGCTGTTATTTCTAGTCAACCCATTTTGTTTAATTAGGTGTGTCCTTTGTATGAGGTGGAAATTAACATGACATATAATACATGATGAATGTCCTTAATCAAATGATTGAATTAATCTGTCTCCAGTGTTTTTCATTGCTAGCAAACTGACAAATCCTGGTACAGCTTCTATGCGTTAATATTTTCCATAATTGCCTGCAAAGCAATAATTAGTTTCATGGTGTTGATTTGACTATCTTCACAACTGATGCAATGACTAAAAACATATAAATTATTAAGAGACACTCCATAAAATTATTTCAACAAGAGACTTGGACAAAATAAAACATAGCTGTCTGTGATATCAAGCATGTTCACTGAGATCTCAGTCAAGAAATGTTATCATTAAATGACAGCAGTAAAATGCGAGTCATGTACACGTCCACTATATTTCTCTAGCTTACTATTTACATTCAAAATTTTGGTCTTTTTTTTTTTTTTTTGGATTCCGTGTGCTCATAGAAAGTGCTAATAATCAGTGGAAGATGGGAGATGGGATGTTTCATCACAGGACCTGCAGATTGTTAGTTGCTAACTAGAAACACTCGACAATTACCCTTTAAATTGCAATTGCTCTCATGTGATGGTCGGTTATGGCATTACAATCACTCCATCAAAGCCTTTTGAATGGGGCTTTGCCTCAAGCCATGTTCTCTATCTTAGGCAAATCATCATAATAACACTCTGTGCATGAACATTAACATTTAAAAATATAATTCACTTTAAGCATATGTTTTCTTGTGTTTAGCACCTTCATACCCATTGACACTCCCTCTTTAGTTTTGAGTTCCTCTCTTTAATTTTGTTCTAACATTACAGGGTCGAGATGCCTGTCTGGCAAAAATAAAGTTTGTTGTTGTGAATTAGGACAACCCACTCCCACAAAGAAAAAAAGAAAAAAACAAAAACCAACCCACAACCCCAAGCAAACACACACAAAATACCCAAACCACAAAAATTTAAATATCAACTGAAGTAAACAGAAGGATCTTGCAGAAAAAGCAGTGACAAATAGTATTAAAAGCCTTTAAAAACAAAACGCATATTGCGTTTCTAATATAGGAGAACACTACACACCTTTTATAGTGCAGTCACACACCAGCACAAGAAAGTTTAGTCATTATGTCATCTACTTCTTACAATAAATGGACCAGTACTTAAAACATGGGCAGCCACGAGAGCTACTTTAATTTTCTGTCTGCACATGGTTTTCTGCTAACAGTTGCACCAACACAAAAATGTTGTTGTCAATACATTTTATTTTACCCAAGAAGCAGCAAAAGCCCTTAATGGTATGTCTGTGTTGTTTGTAATTATAGATCAAAACTACTAGCACTGGTTTTAAAGTATTGTGTTAATGCAAAAATATCCTCAACAGAAAAAATTCTCAGAGTAATTCTGACTCAGATCTATGCAAGTTTTTATCACCAGCAGATACAGCAAAGGAGATTCCCACCAGCACCACCTTTTAAAAAGAAACTTGATTTTCAAAAAGAGCTGAGTAATGTGCAAATTCCTACTCCTAGGCTCCAAGGTACAATTTCAAAGGCAAACTATTTCAGAGGATGTAAAGAGAAATTCTAGAAGAATTTCTCAGGTGATTCAGTTCCACAAAAAGAAAAAAAAAAAAAAAGGAGAAGGAGAAGGAAGTCTCACCAGGCTAACCATAGCATAAGCCTGAAAGACTACTCTCTTGCAAACATTTTATATTAGCTTCCTGTGTCTTTTGAAATTAAGGCTTTTCTCCTAAAAGTTATAAAATGGATTATTGCAATCTAGTTGGATAATAGCATGATAAATAACTGAAGGATTTAAAGCCAAACACACAAACCCACAAGCTGCATTATCACCAAACTAGAAATTTAAAAACTGACAACTGCAAATCCTTTTGTTGCTTAAAAATACGGTGCTCATTTTAATAGATGAACAAATAACAAATGAAAATCTAGAAACAGTAACATAACAAAGGAAAGATGTCTTGCTCATCCTTCTGATTAGATGTTACTTGTAACACTGAATCTATTTCAACAATTCACATCAGAAATTGTCTATAACTTTATCATTTACCCAGAACAAACTTTGTTCTTTCTGGAACTAATTTTCTGGTATACAGGACCAGAAACCAAGCTAACTAAAAAATATATGTAATGGTCCATTTCAGACGAATTGTCCTGAATACTGAATTATTTCCCAGTAATTGTTCCCAAATGTTACAGGACAGGGTTCAAGACCTTTAAAATCGATTTCATCTGATAAACGCAGGAAAAAATCCTTGCAGGTTTCTCTATGGGGTTTGGTTTGGGATTTTTTGGGGGTAGGGGTCCTTGTGGGTTTATTTCCATTAAAAAAAAAAAAAAAAAAGCGAAAAAAAGAAGCTGTAACTTCTAACTTGCATCTTAATTGTTTGTAAAAGCTGTAGATTGATGATCGTGGAATTAGAAGCACCTAAAGACAATGCCACTGTTAACCCTTTTAGTCTATTCACATAAGATTTTCAATAGACATGTATCATTGTATTTATAGGAGAAAATAATTTTCCTGCCTGAGAAAACGTAGAAAACCCTACAAGAAAAAGAGCTAGAAGGGTAGCGTTATCTGACTTTTGCCATCTCTCGACAAATACATCACCGTTCATAAAAGGTGACTTGAAGTTCTTTGAAGTCTAAGAATTAACATGTTGTCACAAACACGTTCAGCTCTGCATGAAATCTAGTTCATTATCTGCGACTGTATAAACTCAGGCAGTAGTGACTGTTTACCGAAACAACCTGTAAATGTGTTAGCCTGTGTTTGCGAAGGATAAGGACTGTGCCATCCCAGGCCCACTTCAGGCCGTAAAAGTGGGTCTTTTCTCGCCCTTATCTGAATCATCCTTGAACAGACTGCCTCTGAACAGAGTTTACACTCCTTTTCTTTGATCTACTTTATAAGAACATCAGAACTGTTTACTTTGAAATGCACACATTTCTTTATTGGGGTGTAGAGAAAGGAGATAGTGTTTTAAGACTTGAACAGTTATTTTCTCAGTGTTTCTGATTCTGATCAATAGCCTGAAATATAAGTCCATATTACTTAATCTCATTCTTAAATAAATTAATAAGAATTAACTTATTCTACTACCTTTTAGATAAGTCAAAACTTTGCACCCTACTTTCTACGAATGATCTAACAAATTGCAGATTAACACTACTGTGATCTGGTTTCAAACCTTCTCTCCTGAAGTACTTCGTTAAGTTTCTGATACTGCATAACCTGTATTCAACAGCGGTAGCTCCTGCTTCGAAAGAAGATAAAGAGTCCTAATTGCAGCACTCTGCCTCATGGACAGCAGTGAAAAAATATTTAACTTTGCATTTCCAAGTAATTACTAAATCAAACAACATCTACACACCTTGACTTTGTAAAGAGTGGTCTGTTACACATAGGCGTATTGGGAAGATACTACAATCAATGTTTTTTCCACAATTTTACCTGTTTACAAGCTCGAGAACTACCTGTTCTTACCTTAAGTCACTCCTTTGCCGGTAGAAAGGCAACAGGATTATTCCAAACTTTGCATCAAACAAGCAAAAGGGGCTCCAGCTTTGGGTTTAAATCTCATAAAAAGGGCCTCCCTCTATCCTTTGTTACCAGTACCGTCCCAATCCTTGTCCTTCATACCGGGAGATAAATATAGAAAATCACGGAGTGATTCGAGAGTCGAGGCCAGCTTGGGCAGCATAAAAAGCACTGGCCATGATGCAATTACCAGCAGCTACGTGGTCAAGAGACTACTCAGCTGAATTTGGCGCCAGGTCAGGTAGCCTTGAGTTCTGCTAACTGCTGCGTTCAGAGATTAGGCGGATGCAACAATCACCTGAAAGGGGAGATTAAAGCACCTCTCAATGAAGTCCTTTGTCCTCTGTCTCATTTGATGCTTTGCGGCCTTTTCAAAAAACACGTCGCGGAAGGTGCTTTAAATGTTTGTCCCTAGAGCCGGGGCAGCCTCAGTGAGCTGGGACCGGCAGCAGCGGGGGAGATGGAGAAGGGGCCTTTCTCGGTGGAGTGGCTGGCCCAGAGCAGCCGCGGCGGAGCCCGGCCCACAGTCGCCGGTCCCTGCTCCCCGACAGGGGACATCGGCGGCCGAGAGAACTCGGCCAACCGCGGTGAGTCGCGCTGCGGGACGGTTGGTGGCGGCTGTTGGGCTAACTAACGGTGGCGGCTCGTGATGCCGTCGGAGGACAGCAGCCGCACGTGCGGCAGCTGCCTACGTCATCCCCTCCCCACTAGCCCCGTCGCCCTGACGCCCGATAGTGTCCCCGCAGCCGCGAGCCGGGACCGCAGCAGCCCCGGGCGCGAAGGGGAGGCCGGCTCAGGGACCGGGCGGCCCCGCACCAAGTTCTCGGCAGCGCAGGTGCAGGAGCTGGAGCGGAGCTTCCGCGAGCAGCGCTACATCGGAGCCAGCGAGAAGAGGCGGCTGGCCGCCGTGCTGAACCTCTCCCAGAGCCAGGTGAGCTCCCCTCTGCCTCCGCCCCAGAGCACACGGGCCCAGAACCCCTTCTGAAAGCTGCGGGAGAGGAAAGGCGCCTCGGCCCTTGCTTGCCTTGGCGGGCACCTCATTAACCTCGGGGGGGACGGAGACAGTGACGGCTCCCGCAGGTGCGGGAGGCCAGGCCGCTGGCCAGCTCTACCCCTCTGGCAGAGAACCAGCTCGATCGAGCTTACACCCCTGCTTGAGCTCTGTGTCCACTGTGTGCACGTTTTGTGTTAAGCCCGAGACAATACACAAATGAACAGTGAATACTTAAAGTATAATTTTAAGTAAAAACTTAAAAAAAAAAAAAATAAAACCTCATCAGCGGCAAAAAACCCACTGTGCCAGCCTTGAGTTACAGTCCTGATCCAACTGAGTAATTGGCTTGCCATGTGTCACCAAATTTGTCACAGCTTGATTCCTCCTTATGCCGAGACAATTGCGCTACTGAATATAGATCAATGTTATTAGCCCTGACTCTTATAACTGTTAATATATTCTGTCACTCTGATAGTCTGATTTCAGGATGTATTACTACATGGAAAAGGAACAAATGGCTTGTTTTGCAATTTTAACTTTTTTTTCCCCTCAGATCAAAACCTGGTTCCAGAATCGTCGTATGAAGTTTAAACGTCAGACTCAAGATGCCAGAGTGGAAGCTCTTTTCTCAGGCTTGTTTTTGCCATATCATTGTTACCCAGATCTTGCTACATTCAACTGTTCTCATGGGACGGATGTCAACATCTCTTCTACCTCTCCAGTTTCCCTTCACCCAGCTATGCCAAGCCCTGCCTTGCTACCTTCTGTTGCAGCTCAGTCTCTTCATCCGGTTTTGCCAAGTCTGGCTTTACTATTGCCTTCCAGTCCAGGATTATCTTGTTACTCCTCTGCAATTCCAGCCATGACTCTAACTGATGACCATAAAAGACTGAGGTTCCAGCCATAACTTCCTTCCTGTTAAAAATGCCAAAGATTACCTGTAGTCTAAATCAGAACTACCAAATATCTCTAAGAATAATCATTTAACTTATTTTGTTATATTAAATAGCTTGTTGATTCAATTAAATGTTTTAATCAAATGTTGGGGTTTATGTTAAAGGAGAAAGCATTTGTACTAGAGAAGTGGAGGACTTGAAACTTTGTTGTATTCTTACAGGCTCCACTATGCTGCATTGAAACTTCTATGTAAATTTTCCTATCCAAAAGGAATTCTATATAAATATTCTATATAATATCCTATATTATATATATTATATTCTGTATAATAAATTCTATATAAATATTCCTATCCTATAATCATGTGGGGAGCTCCACAGAAAAAATGGTGTACTGTTTACTCTTCAGTTTACATACTGACCGTGTAATAGGAAAGTGTTAAAAACCTTGGCCATTCAACTTGTGTGCTGTCTTAGAGAACAATTTGTAAACTACAGCAAATAAATTGAAATTAAAATGCTACCAAAGGTGGCATCCCTAAGAACAAAACTGAACAAGTTTTATTCCAGAGTTCTCTTTTATCTGTATATTCTCAAAACTATAGTTGTCTCCCATATTTGTCCATTTATGCATTTAAAGAGAAGTGAGGTTAAGGAATTAATTGGCAAGAATGTATTTTGATGCCAATGTCAACCATATGTATAATTTAATCTGCAGATGAAAACACTGGAGTTGTTCACGATTTCAGGTCTTGAAACATTCAAAATGAGATTGTTTTGATTTTACTTCTAAAGCTTCAGCTGTAGCTTGACAGCCTCACTAGTTTTAAACTGCAACATTCCATTAGGACTGTTCCTAAAATTCCCAAAGCAAGTTTTATGAAAAATAGCGAAGTTAAGCCTTCAGGGAATAATGAGAAACAAGAGATCTTTCATCAATATAAAACAACTGCAGCAGGTGTGATTACATCTTCCCTGCACCACACCATCGTAATCTGTTTATCAGGTGATGGTTAGACTACTTTGCAATTGTCAGAAAAAAAGAAGACAACTCACACAGTACAACAAAAAAAGTTGATAAGCAGGGCCTACAACAGCCTTGTGCCTTTCCATTAACTGTTATGGAGCTAAAGAGGACAAAGCTGAAATAGTAGACATCAGGGATATTGAGATGCACAAGGGGACATGAACAAGTTTCATCCAAATTTCTGCCTCCTGTGTCTCATCTCCTGTCTGGTTATAACCTCTGATGAAAAGCAAATCCCTGAACATGCCACGGCAAGGTTTTCTCTGAACCCACTCTCAAGCACTCCAACCTTTCCTATCCAGGGGGAGGGTAAGAGACACCTGAAGGGATTTTCCACACCACAGCCCCTCAGTGCCACACTAAGACAGCACCACTCCAAGATGCAGCTGGGCTGCTGAAGGGACATGTTCTTTTCTCAGCCCTCTGAACAGACTGTAAGATGTAGGAAAGAGGCACCTCATTTCCCCCAGCGACCAGCAAGTTTTCTTCCAACATGTCAGCTTGGATCCTCTTGGTGTTAAGACTGTACCTGGTTTGCAACAGCAGCAGCAGAGAAAATTCTCCTTACCACTTTCAAGCTGTCCTTTCACAAGTGAGAAGCCCATAGGCTGTTAAATCAAAACTCTTAATGGCTCCCTGGTTTGGAGAGTGAAGAAGTGAAGAAGGAAAGTTTAGACTACAATGCAGCAATCAATCAACTTAGTTTCTAATGCATTTAAGGAGACCTGAGGTGAAATAAAGAAACTTTATTAATGTGTAATAGATTAAAAGAAATAAGTGCTAAGCAAGCTCTTTCAAGAGAGGAGTGAAAACAGATCCCAAGAAGAACAAAAATCTAACAGATTTCAGGATTCTCAAAACACAAATTTGAACAAGTCACTTTAAATGTTTTTTCCAAAGGGTTCAATTTACTTAAAATGAAATAATTTTTAAAAATGCAGTTATCAGCAGTTATCATGGGCAGTGGTGAAAAATCCCATTAAACAATACGGCTATGAACCAATACAATTGAGCTTTAATACAAAGTGATGCATTGATTAATATCCAGAAAAGAAACTCACCAGCAGTTTATCCTTCCTTCTTGAGGATGCACTCAGCCAAAAGCACAGTGTGATGCAACTATTAAGTTCCAGATTCCCAAACACACCCAACAGACAGACTACACCTCAGTGTCCTGGGTTCAGCTGTGGTCTTAAACCGCAACACTCAGCATGAGCATAGGAAAGTCAGGCAAGATGTATTAAAACATATAAATCCTTCTCCGTTACTCAAACTGAAGTTCAGGTGACCATGGTCATTTACACTGTAGGAGTGCAGCCTATATAAAGTTGACACATATAACTGTTCAGATTTTATTTATATGCAATGAAAACCGTTCTTTTAACATATCCATCCAGACTAAACTTAATAACTTTGCCCTTCACCATGGGAAATTTTGCAAAAGCACTTTCTGCTATTGCTTTTCACCATCCAGTTCCCTGGACTACCAGTACTTAAAATATTAGTACCCTGTCAAATAAAAAAAAAATGAGTGACATCACATCCGATAGATTTTAATATCATTTAGTACAAATATAAAATTATTTATTTTCACATTTAACTTAAAATAATAAACGTATTCTTCCAAATCAGACATGAGGTTCCGAGCACACTATACATCACAGCATACAACACTTTTCTCCTTTGCCTGCCCCTTTTCATTTTCACTATAATGCATATACAGGGTGACACTGTTCGTCCATTTTGTTCTGAATAACTGGATGGAAGGAAGGATGAGGAAGAAAGTGTCGATGGTAGTAGGGCAGCTCATTTCCCATGTAGGTACTTTGCGATGCATTATATCTGGGAAAGGAGAAGCCGAACTGCACAGCAGGCACAGGGGCAAAAGGCAAGAGTCTCTGGTGCTGAGCAGCAAAGGGGTAGAGGAACCCATCCTGGAACAGAGCCGGGGAGGTGCCCGGGGGAAAGCTGTAGAGTGGAGCAGGAGCCACGAGGCTGTGCTGCTTGTCCTGTATCTGCCTCTTCAGCTTCATCCTCCTGTTCTGAAACCAGGTCTTGATCTGAGCAACGATAAGAGCAGGGCGGGGGGTGAAGGAGACAAATCAGGGACTTTGCTTAAAAACAACATGCACACTATGAACGATTGTAGCTCAGCTGCTTCTGCCATTTTTTTTTTTTTTCTACTTTAGCTGACAAAGGTGGACTTTCGCCCTAGTTGAAAGAGGGCAGAGGATCTGGGGGCTGTAGAAAGGAAGAGTGACTGTGTTCAGCAAGTTTAGATTAATCACACTCTGAGTCTTTAAGACCATATACAAGGTTGCACAGACAGCTGCACATAGAGGACAAGCAGTTTATCTTACTAAGAAAGGAACCCCGATGCCTTCCCTTTAGAAAGTGTCCCCAAAGTCCAGACTGTTAACTCGTTAATACCCGGCCCACAGGCCCTGATAAATCCAGCTGAAGACAGCTACGTCTGTTCAGCGCAAGGAAGGCTGAAGCAAGACTGACGAGCCCGAAATAGGAACCCGCTTCCCCTGGAACCCACCTGTATCTCCGAGAGTTGCAAGGCAGCCGCTAGCTTCCTCCGCTCCGAGGCCCCCAGGTACTTCTGGCGCTGGAAGGTCTTCTCCAACCGGCAGACCTGGTCTGAGGTGAAGGCGGTCCGCACCCGCCGCTGCCGCCCGCGGCTCTCCCCCTCAGCCGCCGCAGCGGCACGCTCCCCTCCCGCGCTCTCGCTCTCGTAGCCCGAGGACTCGTCGGCGCTCAGCCAGCCGCT